CACCCACCCACATCCACATCCACATCCACTCTCAAGATGGTAATAATATCACCACTGAGATATCAAGGCGGTTGCCTGTAGTGTATTCGAGCCTGGTGGTCAGGCCGCCTACTTGGGTGTATGTCGCGTGCAGGCAAGCGGGGGCAGGTAGATACAGTGATCTCCAGTCGTTATAGAGAACTCGTCATCTTCGAGTTCCTGGTGTTGAGGACTCGGACTATAGTAGGAAGCATACCGTACAGACGCTAGAGGAGTGTACCTAACTCAAGGCTATCCATTCTCTTTAAAGGGTTGGCAAAGTCCTAGAATAGCGTATAGTTGTTAACATTTTTAACGTAAGTGAAAGTAATATATATTTTCAATTTGGTCCCATTTTTGATTTATGAATTTAAATAATAATCAACGATTACTTTTATTATATACGTTACTATTATTTCTAGTTGTTTGTTTATAATAGGCATAATTGATTGGCAAATAGTAAAACAGGGCACACTTAGCGAACTGCAGGCTACCGTCACGAAGGTGAACGCAAACAGAGATTCCTCACGATAGTGCGGGGGGGAACTGAAGTTACAAATCTATCGTGCTTAATATACGTACTTATTCCACCATTGACGCTATTCCTCTGTACTACTAGTACGAGACACAGACACACTCACGCCGAACCGACATGGCCACTCTCGACTCCCTAAAGGGGGCCCTCAGGCAGAAAGCCACGGCAACAGCATCGTTCTCGAAGCAGCCATTGTCCGACTCAGAGTACAGCGCCGCCTTCGAAAGCTTGGTGCGAAACTCAGAATGGACGACGTACCAAGACTTCATTATCCCTCAACTATCTCAAGTATTGGCTCCCCTGTTCAACTCGCGTATCCGTATCTCGGTGCTAGAGATCGGACCCGGCCCGAAGAGCGTATTTGGATATCTGCCCGGTCGTTTGAGAAGGAAGATTAAGAGATACGCTGCGTTTGAGCCCAACGGCTTGTTCGCCACAGCATTGGAAGAAGGATTTTCCTCTACTTCGGAGTCTCCGCTGCCCTGTCTGGAAAGCCCGCCCGTGATCCATCGAATCCCATTCGTTTTGAATAACAATACAGGAAGCGGTGCCGGCGACGAAAAATTCGACGTCGTTCTATTTTGCCACAGCATGTACGGCATGAAGCCTAAACGCATGTTCGTCGAGCGAGCGCTGAACATGCTTGTTGAGCAACCAGAAGGCGGAATGGTGGTGATTTTCCATCGAGACGGGACTCTGAACCTCAACGGCTTAGTATGCCATCGAACGGCTTCTTTCCCTACTGGAGTCATTCGCGTGGCAAATGACGATGAGGTGTTGGACTGTTTTGCTCCTTTCATTGCGGGGTTTGTCATACAGGATGTGGACGTGAACAAGGCTATTCGAGCCGAGTGGCGTAATGTATGCCGCGCCTTGGGCCGTCGTGACGAAGCTCATCCAGACCATCTGTTATTCAGCTCGCCCAACATTATGGTGGCATTTACCCAGCATGCAACCGCGTTGCCGGAGCTAACGGCCCAGTTGCCATTGTCAGAGGGGAATAACACAGTTAAAAACCGGGAGGCTCGCCTCCACCGTCCCGCCTCGATTATTAGGCCGACAGAGGTCAAGCATATCCTGCAGCTCGTTCAATTTGCTATAAAGCATGGGTTCAGCCTGACCGTCGTCGGCGGGGGTCACAGCGGCCACTGTCTCTGGCCCAATGTCATCTCAATGGAGATGAGCGCCTTTGACCAAGTACACATTCTCACGGCCGGGGACGATGAAGGAAAAACTGGTTCTGATACCGGTCCCTTGGTCGTCGCCGAGGCCGGCTGCAAGACGGGGGATATCATCCAAAAGACCATGGCAGCGGGCCTGACGGTGCCCCTGGGGGCCCGCCCCAGCGTTGGCGCAGGATTGTGGCTTCAAGGCGGCATCGGACACTTGGCCAGGCGGCACGGACTCGCGTGCGACGCCATCGTCGGTGCCGTGGTGGTTAGTGTTGACTCTGGCCAAGTCCTATGCATCGGCCATGTACCAAGCCAACATCGGCCGGCTGGTGCCGTCTGCCCAGAAAACGAAGCCGACCTGTTATGGGCGGTGAAAGGCGCCGGTACCAACTTCGGCATCGTGGTCAGCGTTACTTTCAAGGCTTACGCAGCTGTGACATATTCGGTTCGAAACTGGGTTATCCCGTTGAGAGACAACCTCGAGGCGCAGCTCAAGCTTAGCGATTTTGATAAATTGGTCGCCAGCAAGCTCCCCCGGAACTGTTCTGCAGATGCGTACCTGTACTGGGAGGCAAACCAGCTCCATCTTGGCGTGATCATGTACGAATCTTCCACGACTGGACCCACCTTTGAAATACCCACGCCAGTACGTGCATTTTTGGGGCCGGAAAATAGTTTCAAGATTGTGGACGGTGTCGGTTTGTTTGAGACCGAGATGTATATGTCCGGGATGCACGGCGGCCACGGGGGCGGCAAGACCTCCTCATTCAAGCGTTGTTTACTCTTAAAACATATTGGAGAAGTGGACGTCGCCGGCATTTTAGTGGAGGCCATGGAGACTCGTCCCTCGCCACTCTGCTATCTGCATCTACTACACGGTGGCGGTGCGGTCGGCGACGTGGCGGCCGATGCCACTGCTTTTGGCTGTCGAGACTGGGACTTTGCCTGCGTCGTAACTGGTATCTGGCCGCGTGACCAAGATGGTACCGAAGTCGCTCAAGCTGCAGTGCGGTGGGTTTATAACGTCGCCAGGCACTTGCTGCCCTTGAGTAGCGGAGCTTACGGCGCCGACCTCGGGCCGGACCCCAGAGACATCGCGCTGGCGGCTAAGGCTTTTGGGTCAAATCTACCGCGTCTGATCCGTTGCAAACACAGTTCGGACCCGCACAATGTGCTAGCTTACGCCTGCCCGCTCCGGGAAGCGCCGATGGAACAGAAGCTCATCATTCTTGTCACGGGCGAAAGCTGCACCGGTAAAGATTATTGCGCCGATATCTGGGTCTCCGGGTTCAGGTCATGTACACACAAACGCCTCACAGCACGTGCAGTCAGCATTAGCGATGTAACGAAGCGAGAATACGCAACGGCTACCGGTGCCGACCTGAACCGCCTCCTGCGGGACCGTGCCTACAAGGAACAACACCGGCCAGCGCTGACGACATTTTTCCAGGACCAGGTGCGGCAACGACCTCGACTGCCAGAGGAGCATTTTCTGCGTGTGGTGCACGACGCCAGAGATGTGGACGTGCTGCTAATCACCGGGATGAGAGACGAGGCACCGATCACAGCCTTCTCGCATTTGGTGTCAGACAGGAGACTGCTCGAAGTTCGCGTCAAAGCTAGCGAAGAGACGCAGCGGGTTCGCCAAGGGTACAACAAGGATAACAAGGACAATAAGGACACTGATATTAATAGATCGAATCCGACGGCCATGGACTACCGCCCTAGTCTCATCTTCGACAATGACACGACTGGAAGCGAGGGGGTAAAAAGGTTTGCCGAACATTACCTGCTGCCCTTCTTCCACAAGGACCTGCAGCGACTAGCCAATATGGTGCGCTCGGTAAGCGATTTTCCACACGCAGGCATCGAGTTCCGCCACGTGCTCAACATCTCCCAGCAGCCGGGTGGGCTGGCTCTGTGTGCCTCTCTCATGCACACCCACTTCATCGGTGACTGGACCAAAGTCGATGCGGTGGCTTGTTGCGAAGCCGGGGGCTTTGTTTATGCGCCGGCGCTGGCCACGCGGGTCGATGTACCCTTGGCGCTGATTCGCGATGCCGGCAAACTCCCGCCACCCACCGTTTCCGTCCTCAAAGACTCATCGCATATCTCGTCTTCGACCTCCAACGACTCAAGTGAGAAGACGATCGAGATGGATCGGGACGCGCTCCCCAGAGGTGCATCCGTGGTGGTAGTGGATGATGTGCTTGCCACGGGGAAGACGCTTTGTGCGGTGCTACAGCTATTAGCAGAAGCTGGCGTCGGTGTTGAGGATATTAACGTCATGGTCGTGGCCGAGTTCCCCGTTCACCGTGGCCGGGAACTGTTGCGCAGGCGCGGCTTTGGCAGAGTTCATATTCAAAGCCTTTTGGTCTTTGACGGTGCTTAGGAAAGAAGGGAGAGGATTTTGGAATGTTGTTTTTTTAACAGGGACGATCTTTGAGTAAGAACTTAGTACTCCCTAAGCATTAAAAGCCGGCCCAATTTAAATATAAAAACATAAACGTAAACTTTTTAAAATAAGCTATTATAATTATAAACTAAACGTATAAGAATAATTGTAAAATATACAATATACAAGTAACGCGCGTCGGAGCGACTCGCTTGACCCTGGACTGATTGCGGCTAGTATACTTCCAAAAACAAATCATGGAGATGCGCTCTTTTGACGCCTTATACCATAGTTTGTTGAAATATTTCTCAATTTTCGGCATTGTGCCGGTTGATTCGATGAATCCAACAGAAACGTTTTTTAGATCATACACGAGCACGTCCATGAACAGTGATATATCCGCAGCGGCTCATCGGTCCGCCACTCCCGACTCACCGCTGCTAATCGATGGTCCTAACTGCTTTTCACTCTATGCGTCAGTCGTATATTATTGTTACACGATCATTTAAGAATAGACACTCTCTAGGTATAGTTTCCTCTATAGTGGGCGAGAGAGACATATCGAGAAACCAATGGTGCCATTGGATCCCCTGCTCCCGAACACTTACGATTATGGTTTTGAAAGGTTTTCCGATTGAATGTGTTTTGTTGACACCAACGTTCCTTTGACATCTCCAGACAGACAGACAAGGGTATGGGTGTGGGTATGGGCGTGAACAGAAGAGATGCTGTCACACCTACACCCAGGCCCACACCCACACCCACCCCTTACAAATGTAACACTTACGGATAAAAATATACTCGAAGTAGGTTGTGGTAGGGGTGCTGGTGCTGCTTGGTGTGTTCATACTCATGCACCTCACTCTTACATTGGAATAGATTCTTCTCAAGATGTCATTAACTTATGTCAACGACTTTATTCGACAACTCCTCGACTTTCATTCGTGGTAGCTGATGCAACAAAACACTTACCATTTGAAAATGAATCAATTGATATTATTGTTTGTATTGAAGCAACGCATGCTTTTGGCGAACCAATAGTAATCAAACAATTTGCCAATGAAGCCGTTCGTGTACTTCGTCCAAATGGATATCTTCTATGGTGTGATTTTTGTTATATGAATGGATCAGATAAATCAGTTTATGATCTGATAGAAAATGATGGCTTAATTATTGATAAAAAGATTAATATTACAAAGAATGTTCTTCATGCACTTGACATTCAAAATAAATCTCGTACTGATTTCATTCAACGTTATATTCAACCTGAAGAACAAGAATATTTTCGTCTGTTCGCTGGATTACCCGGTACTCAAGTTTATGAAGACATGAGCCAAGGACGTTCACAATATTGGCGAGTTGTATTTCGAAAGAAGACACCAACAGATATGCCTATCATCTGAGATCAAATTTTAACTGAACAATAGAAACACTTTTTCTTTTTTCAACTAATCATACTTTTTATTTTTGTCCTTATTTACTAATATCATATTATTCTACTTCATACTTATATCTCATTTTTATTTCTTAACTAATAAACTATCTTTATAATCATGAATCTTTATTTATTTCATCACATTGAGTAAGATGAAGTTGTGAGAAAAAGTACGTATTAAATTATCTTTTTATTTTTGACACAAATGTTGCATTAGATTTTGAATCATTCGATTATTTTTATTTGATATGTTCAGAATGAAAATAGAATGTAGTTTAAATTAACAGCAAAAAATCTTCAAATTCGCTCTAATTATTATTTAATTCAACGATAATATCAGGATGTGGGTGCAGGTGTATATCATCTCTTTCTCGTCATCCACATTCATATCCTCAATATTCATTTGCAAGATAAGTGCTTAAAAAAAGCAAACATTTGTTTCTCACATAAGAATATTCAATTCGACATCAATCAAGCATATTATATTCGTTTTATAAATTTTATGGTTCTTAATTGTTATATTATACCACGTTAAAAATAATAGGAAAAAAAAAGCTCATATATATATTAAGTATTTATCGAACAATTCGTCTTTGTGATTCTAATAATTTTTCACGTTCTTCTACCATAGTCATCGACTATAAATAAAATGAAATATATGTATATTTTTTTTGTTCATTACAATATAATAATTATGTATGATATTTACCCAATTAAAAAAAGCTGATAGACCAACAGAAATCTCTGTTACACGTAGAAGATCATAGTTTCTTAATATATCTTTAGCTTCGTGTGCTTTATCAACAGGAATAGCAAGTGGATTAAGTTCATAACATCGACGGCGTATACTTTCTCTACCAAAACGACCTAATAAACTTTGAATTTGTGGCCAATCCTTAAGATTAATAAAGATTAACAGATATATCTTTTTCGAGATAAAATTACTTGTATCTCTCTTTCAGAATGTCCTAGTAGTAAAAATGTAGCACGCATCACTGTTAAAACTTCATCAGGTGGTTTTGTATAACTATGTAATTCAGCAATTGTTGATGGATTTAATCGTAGTACTCTAATTCTATATGTAAAATCAGAAATGAAAATGAAGTTTAAAATGTATCATGTTTAGAAATGTATATGAAAAAGTAAAAAGAAATAAAGCTCAACTACCTTCTCCAAGGAACAAGTATTAATCTAAAGAAGGAGGGAAGCAGCAGTGTGTATTAGTACTAATCAATATGATTTACTTCATATGTTCGATTTTCATTAAACGATTTAATAATTCCAATGCACGTTCACATTCATATTTTAATGGTTGAATATAATCATGATCTTTTACTTGTTGAATAGCTTCTTCAAGTGCAGGAATGGTTCGTTCATCAATAGCTGATAGCAGGTCTAAACAAATATTTTATAAAAAAAAAGATTCTACTCAAATGAGTCATTTACCTTCACGAATTTTCTCATAATTAACGATATATGGTGGAGGTGACTCTGGAATCTGTGTAACAGCTTGTTCAGGTAATGAACTTGCACGCTGTTCAGTAGGTGAAGTTGCAGGCGATGGTGGTGAAATAGGTTTTTCTTGTGGTAATGGTGGAGTTGGTATTCGAGGAAATGATGTAAATACAGGTGGTGTTTCAATTGGTATTGCTGTATCATCAGCAGGGACCGCTTGTGGTATTGGTGATTCATGCTGACTGACTGTTTTGACTTCTTGTACTGTAAATGTTCTGAACGGAGTTGTATCATGTAGACTCGGTTCAATACGATCTTTGAGAATGCCTTCGACTGATAGAAATAAGAATATGTATTAAAATTAAGAAATTAGTTAAAAGTATGACTCACGTAAAAAAATAGATGAGTGTCATAAGTGCAAGAAGAGAAAGAACAATGAGAAGAACAGCTAGGATTTGACCTTGAGTGTCTACAAGAAAATAATTAATGATGATAAGATATGAAATATTTGATATTTTACTTTTTGACTGTATAATACAGCAACTAACAACAGCAATTAGAAATGCGAGTTCGACAAAGATTATGATGATTACAGAGATTAAATGAGATTTTCGAAGGACTTTTTCTAAAAATAATATATCAACTATATTTATTTAAGTACATTCAGAATGATTCTTTATTGAAGACCTTTTCGAGTAATATAAATGAACGCAGCAACTGCTGTTGTAACGAGAAGAACAGCTATTGAAGTTAATACTATAATCACAATTGATAGACGACGATTGTAAGCAATAATTGTCATCGATGATATGATCGAATCGTCCGACATCATACAATTGATCACTGTTGATATTTATTCGTCTATTGCTTTGTTAGTACCGTCAAGACAATAAATAGAAAGAGAACAATCACGAGTTCTTGACTAGTATGTCTTCCTGTTTTCTTTTTTTAAGAATTGAAAGAATGAAATATGAAGACACAGAGAGAACAGCATTGTAGACTATTTGTAATTAGAATATGATAGATCTACCGATAAGTGCACACACACACACACACTCACACATCAAGAAAAAAATAATGAAACAACCTGGTCGTCTTAGAAACTTTACATGTGTATATTTTTTGTAGAGCACAATATTAGTTGACAAATAATTATTGTCCACATAGTAATTGAATTCTTATTTAAAAATTAATATGAGAGAATGAGATATTTATTTTAAAATGAAAATTATTATTTTCTTTTTGAAAAAAAAAAACAAGCTCACAAAACAGAATAACTACAAACTGACATTTGGTTGTGTTCCTGTCCACTTCGAAAGAAATTTCAAACAATCTTGTAATGTCTCACGACGAATTGATTTTGCTGATAGAACAAATTTATTCCAATCATCTTTGTTTGCCATAAGATTATAACGATCAAACATAATACAATCTTCAAGTACGGGATAACCAGTAACTAAACATGGTGATGCACGTTCATTTGTTTCAGGATTAATCAATGAAAATTCAATACAATTACGAGAATCACGACGAAGTGCTGGTTTAATCTAAATACATAGATAAAGTAAAAAAAAAAATAATATTTTAAATAAAATTTACTGATTGTTTCATTGACAATGTTAAAACATGTTCTTTAACTCGTTCATGTTGTTCAGGTGGTAATGATGGTTGATTAGGTAATTCAACTTCATATGGTATATCTGTTTCGACAAAATCTGATGTTGCTAACATTTCAGGTTTACCTTCTTCAATAGCATCGACAACATCCAAATAACGATTTAGAAACATCATTGACATTTCATTCCAATTCACTTTTCGACACATAATACCAGCATCATAAAATGCTCGATCCATTGGTAAAATATCCGAATGACGAAGAAGTGATATTGAAAGTTTAGCTGTTATTGTATCAAGTTGTTCATGTTCAGAACAAGCAGCACGCATTGCATTCATATGAGAAACCCTAAAGTTGAAAAAAATATATTTAGAAAGAGATGACAGACAAATCTTATTTACCAAAGAAGAATTTCGAATGTTGGTCGTTGTTCTTCAAGTTCCTTTTGTATACCACCTGATGAACCTGATGCCGATGAATTCATATTTTCAAAAACATCATGTAAAACATCTCGTACATCTGCCCATTTTGAATAATTTTCATGTTTTAATGAATCAATTCTTAACATACGATAAAATAATGCTTTATAAATTGTTAAATTTTGTGGTATAGCAATAGCTCCATATTGTTTATAAACATGAGCTGCTAATTCTGCTCGATTTGATTTAATCATTAGTGTAGCATATTTTGCTAAATAACTATGTAAAACTAAAGGACCATGTTTTTGTGCTTCAGTAAAACATTCTTCCCATTGATTTTTTTCAACAAATAAATCTAATGCACCTGTTACATCAACATCAACTAAACGTCCTGCATCACCACTCTCTCTTAAAAATCTTTTATAAAGATCATCAACATGTTTAGCTAATTGTGGATCAACTTCTAATGCTAATTTTTTTGCTTTTTCCCATTGTTTACCAGCAATAAATGCATCAACAGCTTCTTTATGTAAACCAACATGTAAATATTGTTCAGCAGCTTGATTAGGATTTCCAAGTTGAATAAGACGTGGACCAATTGTTCGTATAACATGTTGAGCTCGATTTTCTGGTAGAAATTTTCTTGCTAAATCACTTGCTTTCAAATAAGACTTAATAAGTGTCTCTTTTGGTATATCTTGTTGAGGTGTTAAACGTACATATAATTCAACAGCACGTTGATATTCACCTTTTGATTCAAGTTGAGCAGCTTGTGCAAGAACATTTTCATTACTATATTCTGTTCTCGGTTGATTACCTGAACGATTATCATTTGCATCTGGACGGTTCTCCAATTCTCTACGTAATTCATCAAGTTTATTTGGCATATATTCTTGACAGACTCGTAATGCATCTTGCCATAAACCTAAATAGTAAAAAAGAAATTTATATTATATTTATATAAAGATTTTATGATTATACCATTATCTTTATATAATTTAATAGCAAGATCAGGTCTTTGTGCTTGTAAAAGAAAAGTTTCTGCTTTTGGAAAATCATTACTATCAAATGCTTGTTTAGCTTGACCAATAAGTACATCATTTAATAATGCTTTATCATTTGCTTGAGCAATTCGTTGTGCTAAAAGAAAGAAAACAAAATATGGAATAATATATTGACGGAATAATTTTACCTCGATCCCAATCTTTAATTTGAACATACATAAGAACAGCATCTCGTGGTTTTTTAGCTTTAAGAAATTCCGCTTCTGCATCAGCATAACGATGTTCATCTTCAAGATGTAGTGCATATTTATAGTGAACTTCAGGAAGTTTATCTTTAAGAAGAAGTCGTGCAATATCAAATGCAAATTCATATGCATGTTGTTCACAAGCTAAATCAAGTACTTGTTCAGCATGACCAAGTTTATTTAATAGTTTAACACCTGCATCACCACCTAATTTCTTAGCCCAAAAGAATGCAACTTGTTGAGCTGGAACTGGACCTCCATGTTGTCGTGCAATGCCTTACAAAATAAAATATTGATTTATTTTAAAATTTTACATCTCATATTTATAGTTACGATATGCATCATCCCAATTCTCTGTTAAACGATACATATTTGCTGCTGATTTCCAATCACCAGCTTGTACATAATGTATTTCAGCTTCTTTATATCGTTTTTCTTGTTCAAGTTCTTTAGCAATTGTTATTTCAGTATCTTTTAATTTATCGGGATAATATTGACGAACAAGACGTACTAATGCATCATAATTTTTCGTACGTTTATACATAAGAATAGCTGCTGTATTATCATTTATTGTAATATATAATTTTTCTGCTTCTTTATATCGACCTTTTGTTTCAAGTTCTTTCGCTTGATTCGAATATAATTTTGTTACTTCATCTTTATTCATATATTGTTTTGCAAGACCTATTGTAAAAAAATTCATATAATATTTATTCGAATTCAATTAGACGTACGGAATGCTTGTTCCCATTTGGCAGCACGATTATACATTTCTACACATTCACCTGGACATTGTGCTTTTAAGTAACAACGTTCTGCTTTTTCAAATTCTTGAATTTGAGCAAAATGAAGAGCTAAATATAAGATTGAAATATAACTAAATTACGAATAAAAAATATTTACCAAGTTGTTTATAATATTTAGCAATATCGGGATTATTTTCATCTCTTTGTTGTTCAAGAATTTCCAATGCACGTGTCCATTGACGACCTTGTAAAGCTGCTTGTACAGCTTTCATATTTTCTCCAGCTTCAATAAAATGATTTACAGCTTCAAGATATTGCATTTGTTCAGCCATATGATCACCCCTAAGAAAAATATTCAAACATTTTTCTCTCTCTCTTGAAAAAAATTTTGTATTTACATACCATTTACTTTCAAGATCAACGACATCTTTTGGAGTTGTTCGACGTGCTAATTTAACAGCCTTACGAAAACATTTGCCAGTTTCATAACATTTTAATGCTTTAGAAAATTCTTGTACATGTTCATAAAGATCACCAGCTAAATCATACATTTCTGCATGAACTAAACTAAGAGCAATACGTGTAACAAGATCATTATCACGCTTTAATTGTGCATTTTGCATAACTATATGTGCTGATCGAGATGGTAAATTTGCTTGCATATATAATGCAATCGCTTCTTCTTCTTCATTTTGTTTTAATTTCCAATCAGCAGCACGTGCTATTTGTTTTGTATCCATTAACCATTTATAATATGTTGAACGAAGTTCTTCAGCTTGTGGATGTCGTTTACGATCAGCTACACTTATTGCTTCATCCCAATGATGCATTGTACGATACATATCAATAGCTTTATCAACATCACCATTTTCTAAATAAATTGATTCAGCTGTTTTTAATTGTCGTTCAAATATAGCTAATTTTGCTCGAACTTCATAATGATCATATGAACCATGTTTTTCACGTGCTAATTGATTGATTGAATGAAGAAAACGTGCTTTAGCCATTTGTCTTGTTGCTGTATATGCTTGTTCAGCAACAATATATTCTTGTTTTTCATATGCTAAACGTGCTAATGTTTCCCATAAAGTAGTTGATGTTTCATCTGAAGATCCCGATGCATCTAAATAAGCAACAGCACGACGAAAATCTTGATCATTAATAGCTGTATTAAATTCAATTTTATTTGAATCAAGTTCAATTGTTGATTGTACACCATTATCAATTACTTTAACATATGTTCGATTTGTTGATGGATCTTTACTAATTTCAGTAACATCACCTTTTATAGGTTTCATATCACATGATTCAGGATGTTCAATATTATACCATACAGATAAATTATCTTGAGATTGACCAACAACAACATCACTATCGGGTATCCTGAAAAGAATAAGATATGAAACATATTACAATATTATTTCTATACTTACCATTGTGCATAAATACAAAATGAAAGTATACATGTTTTTATGCTTGTTTGAAGATTATATCTGTTAAAGAAAATAATTATTATTAATATCTAATAGAAATTATTTTATTTCATAATACATACAAATATAATTTAAGATTTTTATCTCGAAATAATAAATATCGACTTGTTTCATTTAATGCTAACCAATTAATATTTGCATCATGATTAACTTGATAAATAACAGCTGCACCACTTGTAGACATTAAATCAACTATTGCGATTGTACGACTATCAAGTAAATAAGCCATCTTTTTATTTCCTTGTAAATGTCGTTCTTCAACACGTACACTTATTAAATTAGGACTAAGAAATTCTGTTCGAACAGTACATAAAATATTATCACCATGTTTTCCACTTGGAGCATATTCAATTAATGTTAATTCTCCATTAGCAAATATCATACAAACATTTTCATTCTCAAATGAAAATTTTTCATCACCACCTGATTGCCAATGAACTTCACAACGACGTTTTTCATTTTCTAAATCAACCAAAATAAGTGTATGTGTAGTATAACCAACAGCATAACGATCACGTCCCATTATTTTAACATCAGTTATTTCAAAACCATTACGTGATAATAAATCTGTTCGTTTACCAGTTGATTTATTTTCAATAAGTACTTGAGATAATGAAACAAAATTAATAGCATATTTGCCTTTCATACTAGATTTTTTTAATGAACAATTAAATAGAAATGTACCACCAGTAAGATTAGAAACAGCAAAACGAGCTCCATCTAAAATTCATAATTTATCATTACAAAAAACAAAAACAGAAACACTATGATCACTACCTGAACGCCAAGCCATTGCTGTAACTGTATACATATTTTTAATTTCTTTAACCGGTGCTTCATCAAACATGCCTTTTCTTGGTTGATAGGAAAAAAGACGTATATGATCATATGAACCAAAGACACATTCTTGACCTAAAATTAATTAAATTTGTATTTTAAATAATAAATCTATTGAAAAATTTTACCTGTTGGATTACAAATACCAACACCAAATTCACGTTCATTTGGTTCACGACTATAATCAAATTGTTGTAAAATTTTTCCATCTTTACTATAGACTACAACTCTTCGATCACATCCACCAACAAGTATGCCATGTGCACTCCAAACTAATGCACATGGTGGACATGAATGTCGTACAACTAAACCAGATTTATCTCCTGTACCTTCATCTTCAATTATAAAACGACAAATACTACCATCTGCATGTCCCGATAAAATAGCTTTACGTGATACATTTGTTGTTAGTGCTACAGTATATTGTTCAGCTGTAAATAATGTTTGTGATTTATTTTTTTTAACATTTCCCGAACGTAATTTTCCATCAGCTAAACCAAATATAACTTGTCCATCAGGTAACCATATTAATGATGTCACATGAGCTGATTGAACAAATTTTGCTACAATCGCTTTTTTTTTCATTCCAATCAACACCTAATTTATATACAAATACAATATTATCTGATTGTGCTACAGCTAGTTGAGTATTGTCAGGTGAGAAATCCATTGCTGTAACAACATAAGATTGTCGTCCATATTTAGAATCAATAGGTTTTGTAGCAAAACGATCACGCAGTTCACCTGTTTCATCATATAATTGTATAACACGATCAATACATAAAGCTAATTTTTGACCATTTGGTGAAAAACAAATAGCAGAGATTTGAGCTTCACCACTGATTGTTTCAGATATTTGCTTAAGAAATTTTACTTGCATTTTTAATCAATATCTGAAATTAGAAAAGAAAAGAAAAATATTATTTGAAATGAAAATGTCTTAAGGAAAAGATATATCAATGATATAAATACAAACCTTATTTCATATTCCAGAAGTATCATTGAATTAATTTATCCTTTTTTCATGTTTTCTTCCGTTGTCAAGCAATGAACTCCAATAAAAATGTTCATGTCTAATACTATTCGTGTTCTCTTTCAACCATTGATAAACATGTATGACTCACAGAGAGAAAGAGAACAAAAAAAACAGAAGAATAAATTTCCATAGATATAATACAATCTATCTTCCGATTTGAATATAAACCATTCATTGATGTCAAGAAAGACATTTTACACAAAAGAAAAAACAAATAACTGAATTAACACATTCTACTTATTATAGTTTGACATAAATCACAAAGGCAAACTGATTCAAAAATCTTTATCATACTAACAAAGAATAAGATATATATTTCGCATGCAAATTCATCCTATAAATAGTATGTGAACGAAAAAAATAGAGAATTTAATTCAGATCATTTATTAATCATTGACGATAATTCATAAATATTCTTAAATCAAATATGTTAGTTATTGTTTATATAGATATATTCATAATAGAATTGATTTCTACTTTTTATTCTCCGTAGATTTTTATATAGGATTACGCCTACGATATTGTGATAGTTCGTTTTCTTGAAAAGATCAAATTTTACTAAATAATCTGGAAAATATCATATGTCAACAGGAATAATTTATGTTCATACAATACGTTTATGTGTGGCATAAAAATATATTTAGGTCATATATAAATTTTAAATGATATGTACCTGTGACATACGCTTTGAATATCTCATCATAGTTAGAGTTTTGACATATTATTTTATAGATAGATTGTTTACGTTTATATGACTATTCTAATCTACTGAACTAAATATATTAATGTCAATAAAATAGTTTGTTAAAATTAATTTCTACATTTTCTCAATATTTTTATAACTTCAAGAATTCTATCATTAACCTATTCACGTACATCAATAATTGATGATTTAAACCATTATAAATTGCTATTATAATAACTTTTATTAATACGATATTTTCATTCATATTACGATATATAATAAAAATCAAGTTATTTAATAAAAATTTTTAATCGTCATCATTGCTTCCGTTGTCATGCAATAAACTCTTTAAAAACGTTTATTCCATTCGTTCTCTTTCATCCATTAACAACAATGAATGAATCATAAAAAATAAGATCGTCTGGTTGGTTATTTAATTTTTCCTTGTTCTTTCTTCTTCTTCTTCTTCTTCTTCTAAAGATATTATTATTCTAAATAAAGTGTATGCATTTGTTCTAAGTACTCTCATTAATCACATATGTCATCCTAGAAAAATAAACCAGTATTTTGTTTTTTAGATGCAACGTGTATGTTTTTGTAAAACAGTTTCTTTATTTAATCATGTCTTACAACCAAGTCAAGCAATAGCACTTTTTTATCAATCATTAATATTTTCATTAAAAAATCTTGCACTTATTCGATGGATTAGTTCAACAATCGATATACCAACTGGTTTACAATTACTTATGATTGATATTAATGGTAATGTTACCATTGATGATGAATTACTTTATAAACAATTATCAAATTTAAAACGTAATAAAATAATTTCTTTGTTTTTTATTCCTATAAAAATAAACTCTATTACTGTTTAGATGATGTAGAACAACAACAACAACAAACAGATACGATTTCGGTAAGAAATTTTGAGGGTCAAAAAAACATGTGTATTGATTTTTTTTGTTGTTATTTAGATTTTAAAATGGATTAGTCGAATTGTATTACGATTAGCAAGTGATTGTTCGATATCATCAAAATCAGATCGTTCAATAGATTTTGAATCCTTCAATGATTTTCTTAAACAATTTCATAGTTTGTTATAGCTGAAAAAATTTATTTCGCTCGAATTTATTTTGTTTTTATTTAGCATGTTCGAATGATGATCGATCAACATTGTCAGATGATGATGAAGGAATTAGTAATGATGATCTTGATAATGAAGATATTAGTCGAAGAGCTATTCATAGAGCTTTAATGGTACATATCGTTTGATTTTTGTTTAGAATATCAACATTTATTATTAGTAATCAGTTTATTTGTCTTTTGATTCTTCTTCAGATCGATGGCATACCCCATGCATCATTAGTTAAATAGACAGCGCCTATCAGAGTCTATGTCATTGATCTGAAGATATATTCGTTTAAGAATATATAGATGTACTTTTTTGTGTCTGTGAAAATTAGACGCATGAATGATAGTAGAATAGATAATATTATTTTTACTGTTTTTTTTTTGTTTGACTGACATTAATGCTATCATTTTACTCATCGTTGATTGAAATATGATAGAAAAATCTTATTATAGATAAAATTTTCTTATTAAATTCATTGAGATCATATAACAAATATTATTTTGGAAAAGCTAGATAAATCTCGTTCTTTCTAATAACAATAAGACAAGAATATGAACTCTCTTTTAGGGTTTCTCTTATAGTCTACTTATGAGAAAAACAAAGAAGAAATCGGAAGTAATTCAAGTATCATTCTCACCAGTTTAGATATTTTAAGATTTCCTCTGAATGAAATATATTGATTTAAAAAATCCACCTTTATTTAACTAGTTTTATCAAAGGTTATTAAGTACGAAATTTATGATAAAATCGAAAAAGTTAATTCTGATAGAGATTTACGTTTTCCTACGATTAAAAACGTGTATTAATTGAGAAAGTAGTGTTCACATAACTGCCGTATGTTTTTTTAATTCCCGTTCGATAAAAATTCTTTGGCTACTTTTATAAGATAAACATCTTCTTGCGACCGATTTTCCTGAAGGAATTTCATAATGTATATAAAGACTGCAAGGTAGAACTTTGATTCGTATCTAATCATTATAAAATTATCAGCGGAATTAGTTAAGAAAAGTCAGATTTATAGAAAAACGACTTTTGCTAATTTGTTGATACAACTTTTTTTACCTTTTCATTCATGAATAAGTATTTAATTACTTAAACGCGTAGGATCAGAATGCATATCTAGATTATATTTGAAGCAAACGTATGACGCATGAACCACAAACTGGATTACGGTAGTCTTGAAGATTAAGTAGAAAATCATGCATTTTAAAAACTTATTAGAATAATTTATGTAATCAACTATGTGGAAGACGATAATAATATAATCAATTCTGATATTTACATTATTTTTCGTTAGATTATTAATAGTACTATTTTTTTAGTTGAATGAATCTAATTATTGAATAATTTATTTCGAGAATTTTCTTATTTATTTAAAAATAATTACACAACCTATGAGTCTACGTAATCGAAGCATCTGTTTACTGGACTAAATCAATTTCAGGATAAAATTTAAAATAATTATCTTATGATGTTTTTTATTTAGAAATGTATGAATTATATTACGTCATTTTCTGTGACAGATTCATCAAATAGTAATGAGCATAAATCAAATACAAGTGAAATGCAAAATTTTGAAAGCAATTCTATAGCACTTTATAATCAACAAATAATTCAAATTCTTTGCAGTGATACTTTAGAATTAGAAATTGAATTAGCACATGATGTTGTAAGTTTAAAATTTTGTTTTTACATTGAATATAAATAATAATAATAATAATCTATTATTAGCGACAGTCATCATTTGAATTATCAGCAACACCACCACCGCCACTTCCACATGATACAAGATTTTATTCAGTTTGGGTTTGTTTTTATAATGGATTTTTTTTCTTGTAATTTTTTTTATTGTTTCAAGGCATCATTATGGCGTGATGTAACTGCGGAATATCTACAATTTAATGATAAAACTCAATTACGTAAAGTTACATTGGATAATTATGGTAATATAAATAATTCGATCAATGAAAATCGTCAATGGTCAAATAGAGAAAATGATCGTGTCCTTGATGAAATATCTAAAGGACAACAAAATTTACGAAAAACAAATAAATTTCATCGTCAAAAAGAATATAATAAACATGTATGTTTACATGATAGTTTAATGTCTGAAATTAAACAACAACGTATTTTAAAACCCATTGGTAAAATAAAATAAAAACTAAATTTTTTCTATTTCATATTTTTTTGTTTTAGCAAATCTATCAATTACTTCAAGTACAAGTTTAGATTCATCTCGGAAACGGATACGTCCTGTTAAAGTTTGTTAATATTAAATTTCAAGTAGAAAATTTTATGAGAAATTGTTTTTCTTAGGAAATAAATGGAAGAAATCTAAGTTCTGATGATGATGACGACGATGAACAACGTGATGAATATGGTCGAAAACGTGTAGCAGTTATTGATTGTCTTCTTGAATCATCTCCATCTTCACCAGAAGATAATATTGAAAGTAATTTATTACCGATAAAGTTTATTTATATATATATTTATTCTATTTTTTAAGATGAATCAACAATAAAATCTAACCGTGTAAGTGAAAATCGAGATGAATATATTGATTTAACTTTGGATGCTTTAACTCTGATAAATGATACTACAAAATCATTATCAACTAAATTGAATTATACTCAAATAGAATCTCTTGAATTAGAATATATATCTATGGAAGAGATTATTCGGGTTTGTTTTGTATATATATGTGTTTTTTTTTTCTTCATCATCATCTAGCTTTCATCGTTGTTTGTGATATTTATCGGGTATGCACCTTTATAGCTTGTTGATTGCTGTGCTCATTCATATATGTAACTTTATAAAAGTATTTAGACATGCGTGCATGCATCCACTAGAAAATATAAGAGACTAGTAATGAATGCGTCTAAGATTTTTCTTGCGGAATTGTTACCGAGAAAAAAAAAATGAGAAAAAAATGATGTTGCCCACGCACAATTGTAATCTAACATGAAAGAAGAAGAATAAGAAGAAGAAAAAGAGAAGAAAAGAAAGAGCGAACATAAGAAATAGAAATGATGCTGATGTAGAGGATCACTCGTCGTCAAAGACAAAGAACAAGCAACAAATTTTCCGTTTTTTTTTTCTGTTGACTTGTTACCCTACTTAACATAAGACATTAGAAATAAATTGATTTTTTTCTATCGTATTGAATAATGCAGTTGCAAGAACGCATTTTACAGGTAATTAAACATTATTTAATGTATGCTTTTAACGTACATATATAATCATATGTTTCTATTAATAACAAAAAGAATTGTTTTTTATTCTTTTTAGCTAATGAAAGATAGTTCAAATACATTATCATTAACATTTGATGAATTTAGTCATATTCGAAATGTAATCACACGATCTGAATTAGAAACTTTATTATTCAATGAAAAATTATATTCTGAAGTTGCTCAGGGAAAAGTAAATATAATATCGAATGAAAAAAAACAAATTAAAATTAAAAATATTCATTTAGTTATGTTTTACTTGTCGAAAAGTACATTTCAATTTATTGACATTTACATTTGGTATTCAGTGTAATGTTTGTAAACAAAAAGTTTGTCGAAACTGTGTTACACAAGTATATAATTATTATTTTAAATAAAACATTATTTTCTAATGACAATGTTTTCTTTTTAGATTGCTTTACCAAAAGAAAAATTAAATAATATACCAATTCAAACATTTACTCCATTAGCATTTTCGAAATCATTATCAAATTCAGATAGATCATACTCTCTAGATAACAAGTAAGATAGACGTTCTTTTTACCTTCTATTTTAGGACAGAATGACATTCTAAAAGGATAATTATGTTTAATTTTTCTTGAAATAATGAATGTAGAAATACAGATTGTCAGATTTGAAGAAGCCATTAAAAGGATTAATTTTATTTTTGTTTTGTGATTTTTAGAATTAGTAAAAAAGTTATAAATAAATAGTTAGGGATTGATGTAATGTTATTCGAATTGTTAGTTTAAGTTTTATAAAAATAAATATATTATTTAGATCTCCAGTTACACCTGTTATGAATGATGTAGTAGATGATTCAACACTTGACGAACCTGAATCTCGACGTAGTTCAACTCCAGCTGGTATTATTAATCGCTCAAATTTAACAAAATGTCAAGCAGATCCTATTGATATATGTACAGACTGTTTCATTCTTTTACAACAAATACGTAAGAAAGCTCGACAACGTCATATTAATCCTCCAATACTTCCTTCAACATCATCATCATTCAATCGTTCACATCATTCATCATCACGTTCAACATCAAATTATAATCTTTCATCATCATCATCGACATCATCAGTTGCTGCTTTATTAGCTCAACAAAATACATTAATGATTAAATCAAATTCGATTGTATCGAATTTAAAACAAGTTAAATCCATACAAGAAGTACCAACAAATAATGATCCATTACAAACATTAACAACAGTAGGAGCAACTGGTGGCTCACAACGTGTTAGTTTATCACGACATCATCTTTTTCTTAAACTTCAACCAGCATATGATGTTAAATTAAATAATATTAAAACTGGTTGATAAATTACATTTTATTTTCCGCATTTCGATCCGGTTTGGCATTTTGTATTATGTGATATAAAGAAATAAATTAAAGTATTCATATTTTTTTTTTTCTGAAAATATCTTATCTATTAAACTAGTCTTTATATACATGTGTAATATTATGATTTTGTCAGTTGTTCGTTCTTTTGTATCTATACAAAATATGTTGAGTATCTTATCTTTTTCCCTTTTTTTTCTCTCTTTTGAGTATGTAAATAAAACATGTATGTAAATGTTAACTTTAATAAAAAAAATAAAGAAATTATAAGTATTTAATATATATATACAATATTTTATTTTTATGAATTTGCTCATAGATTATTGAAATTTGGTCGTAACAATTATTAATTGAACTTCAACATAAATTAATATCATCATTAGAGGTATGTTATATTCTTAAAATTTTCAGTAAGAAAGAAAAAGTCATGATTTGTAATTTTATAAAAAATATCACACTTTTATCCAAAAAAAAGAAGAAAATTAAAAATAGAAATTAATATGTATGACATATATTATAAAAAGAAGAAAAAGATATTACACATTTTTTTCATATCTACATAGAAAAAATATGCATGAAGAATGTCTTATTGATTACGACGTAATCATATTAGACTAGTTGATATTCCAGATAACATCTCACATTGAAATGTGACAAATAGAAACTTTATATTTGATATCTCATTATTATATATTTAGAGAGATGATATACGGATAAAATCAGAGTTGTTTATCATAACTTTTGAGTAGCATGCAAATCTTTCTTGTTATCTGTTTATCGTCAAAATATAATCATACTACGCCTGGTCGATAGTATTGATCTTTTATTCAATCTAGTTGTTTGTGACAAAAATAAGCATAGATAGTTTTGTATATTTCATATAGATTGACTTTTCTTTTTGAATCTGATTTTATTATTACGATGCATTTATAATTTACCGTTGCGTGTTACTTGACATCTTTATGTATCAGATGATCGAAAAAATCCATTTAAGCTTCAGACATCAGATCATATTGAAAAAATAAATCATAATAGTCATCAAGCTGTTTAAATCATAAAAATTTTGACAATGTCATCAAAGAATCAGTCAACGTATAAAAAAAGAAAAACAAATACCTGACAATTTATTATATTCTCACTCGTTTATGCTACCCTATAGAGAAAAAAAATCATCGTTTTTTTTTGAATTTTTCTTCTTCTTTCTTTCCTTCTTTCTGATTTATTGTTTTTTACCTTGTCACTCTCTCTCTCGTTTCATTACGTCCACCAACACAAAAATCCCAGCTGTTGATAAAATGTCCTTCTGTCGTCTCGTTTTACTGTTTTTTTTCATCCTTAGCAAAAAAACGAATACAAAAAAGAATGCAAAGTTATGCAAGTTTTAACTAATTGTATGCTACTGTTCTGAGTATACCTTGCCAGATTTAATAGCAAATATTATCAATAAAAAAAAATAACAACATTTCTCTCGTATGTAAGCGCACGAACACGCACATACATAGTACATCTTATCTATATATTTAGTAATGCAATGCGAGTGTTGATGGCAACAGCTGTGAAAATGGAAAAAAAAAGAGAAATAAGTTTAGTCTATTAGTCGTATCAATCGACGATCGTTATTTGTGCCACGTTTTTTCCTTTATTTCCTTCAGGTTTGCTATATCAACTCCGATACATGATTGATCATTATTAGCTTTTGATGCCTATGAATTATACATATTATCAAAACTGAAATATGCCAGATGAGACAACATTCTTTTACATTAAGACATGCGGTGGCTGCTCTTAGTCTGTCGAAAAATATATGTTATTATGTATAATAGAATGTAGTGTATTCGGGTTTAGATTGTCGATACATACATACATACACATAAGGAAGGAAGAAGAGACTTGTAGTTCTTGTTCTCGTTTTCTTTTCTATTTCGGTTTCTTTTCATTCTCTATTTTTGCTCGTTTCTTCTTATAGATTTTTTTGTTACTCTTCCTCTCTCTTACTATAGTCTTGGTGTTCGTGGCGACGTGTAGTGCAATCGACGACAATAACAAGAACAAAAACGCGATTTCTAACCTTCTTCAGAATGTTCTTGTGATCTATTTCCTATTTTATTTAAGTGCTTTCATCTTTACAGTAAGTATAAATGAGAATATTTATTATTGATCTAATATATGCGCACATAAGTTTAATAAAATAATAAAAAAGAAAGTATTCTTTTTGTGTATTCTATAATCGAATTAATTGATATTTAAAGCATAGAAGCAAAAAAAACGAGACATATGTTGTTAGAGAAAGGAGGAAAAAGAAACTTCTTCTTCTTCTCTTTTCTTTTTTTTTCGTCATGTCTTTCAATAAGGCAATGAAAACTTTATGAACAAGAGATTGTTCTATCAGTATATCAAAGCGTTCTGCTTGTCAACACATTGTCATATAGAGTTGGAAATGACCTATCGATTTATAATAGCTAATACCAGAATTAAGTGGAATCTATTGCATCTTTTCTATAATTGTACGTGACACACAATATTTCCTTTCGCTTGAAATAAATTATACGATCGGAAGTTGACGACTATTCGTTCATTGTGTCGACCGATATGTCTGTTCATCTCTCTTTCTTCTTTCATTCTGTCTTCATCAAATTCACTATATTCTCGTTTTTCTTGTATATTACTAATCTTGCGTGCAACAGCGCCGACGATGTTGATGGTCGTCACTGACTGGTTAGGCTGATGGTGATGAGTATATATCGTGTGACGACGAATAGACCACGATCTCTTTCTCTCTTCTCTTTCGGTCGGTTTATTTCTTCTTCTTATTCTTCTTCTCCTTCTTCTTCTTCTGCATCTTCTTTTCATCGGTCTATTCACGTTGTGTATGCGCTTGATTTAGCTTGAGAACAAGAAGACAGAGAGAGAGGGAGAGAGAGAGAAGAGAAAACGATGTGCCTTTGTCTATTATAGATTAAAAAAGGGAGAAACTTACAACGACCTCCGCACGTTCATATATTTATATATATATATATACATAGTCGTGTGTACAAGTAATATTTTTAATCAATTGAAAAGAAATGTCAACTATTGTTGTTCACCAGGTAAATTTTTCTTTTTATTTTAAAAGCCAATTTTAAATGACATGTGTCAAGAGAAAAAAAACAAAAATTCAAATTTTGTTTACTTTGCTCTTACTTTTAATAATATTACTTATATAATAAGCATGAATACTTCTTCTTCGTTTTTTTTCTGTATGCTATTGATATCAATAGAAACTTATTGTTTATTGAACGTGGTGATATCTTAACTCCACCTACTGTTCATCGTAGCATAAATGCCGAGATAATTAAATGCTTTATTTGGTATACTTAATTCACAGTTCTATTATTAGAAAATTATACATCCTGTGGATGGATAACTGTCTAATGAAAAAAAATGGTATTTTTTTGCGATCAGGGAATTTATATGCCTGGCAGATGATTTCTCTATGAAACAGAAAGGAGCTGTTTGTAATGAACAATATGTTTGTAGATAACTGTCAGTTGCTCTGAGTATAAACGAAGCGATCATTAATCAAATCATTGATAGGCGAGTTATTTTTTTTCCTGAATAATGTTGATTATCTATTTCATATGAAAGAAAAACGACTTTCCCACTTGTGAGATCTTAAAAAGAATGATGAATCATTCATATTTCATAAGATTGTTTTTTCCATATGTGACCTTTATGTTTGTATATATATATGGATGAGAATGAAAGAAATAATGACGTGTTATTGCGAGAAAAAAAGAAAAAGAACGAAGAAATCTTCCAATCTCTTCTCGAAAAAAAAAAGCTTTTGTTTGATCTTATCATATGCAAAGACATTTCTTTTTATCTGAAAAAGAAAAAAAAAATATATATATATATATATATATTTATTACACGAGACATTGTCAAATGATAAAAACAAAAAAAGAAAAAAAAATATATATATATATGAATAATTGATTGTAAATAGAAGAGAATATTTTCTAATAAGAAATAAAAATACATGATTATTGTTTTATTTTAGCCATCACAAACGCCTCCTTTACATCATTTACTTAGTGATCCCCATTCAACTGATCACGTGCAACAACAACATTCAATAATAGCATCAAATATGGCATTAGCAGCTGAACGCGAAGCTTATTTACGATTAGCACAACATTCAATGGACAATTCTAGACAATTTGCACCGAATATCAATAGTCGTTCGCCCAAAGCTTATGGTGGTTATATTGTAAGTAGTCAAATGTTCGAGTTTCTTTTTGTTTTAGCTCTTATAAATTGAATCTTCTATAAAAGCATTTTTATAATTGAACGATCGAGTATTGTTATGGTACTTAATTCTATCGATCGTTTATCAACATTTTTTTTGGCTTTCATTCGCTTGTTATATCCTTTGTTCGATTGCCGACATTCTCGAAATGTTATTGTTCGATTAGAAGATGATTAGAGAAGGCGCCTCTATCATTACTTTGTTGATGATGGCATCGTTAAAAATTTATTTTTCTCTATTCTATTCTATTCTTATATAGATACTCATCTGTATTCGATTCATATATTTTTAAGTCTCTCGAAAAATTTGTTTTCTCTATGTTATTAATGGGTCAATCCATTTGTAACCTTGAAAGACAATAATTGAGTCGAGTAATCACCCCCAGTAAATGTCTCATTACGGGAGTAAAGAAAAGAAGGAAGAACTCCTACTGTGTATGTATATATTTGTGCATCTTTATCTCATAAAAAAAAGATGTAGCAGGTTTAGTTGCACATGCAAATAGACATAGTAGTTACAATGATATGTTTGTAAGATAGAAAAAAGAGAGAGATCATATTTCAGTTAAACTCTATTGATAAGTGAACTGTTCGTTTACTTGATGCATTCATCAATGATAATATTGTATGTGCGTGTTAAAATCCTATTATTCGATAGTAGTAACTTCATCGAAAACGATTAACCTGATATCTGCCTTATGACGTAGCCGTACACGCAAACTGTCATCATTAGGTTTTTTTTTTTCTTCTTTTTATATGTAATGTCAGAAGAAAATCGATGTTCTTGCTTTCTTTCTCTTTCTCTTTCTCTGTCTCTGTCTCTCTCGTCGTTTTTATATACCCATAGGAAATTGTATATATTAAATATTTGACGCCAATTAAGAACGATGAGATGGAAGAATAAGAAGGAAACTTTGAAGTTGTTCAGTACGAATTGATTAGACTCTTTTGTTTATAACTGACTATGCATCTATTTCCAATCAGACAGACACGGAGAGAGAGAAAAAAGAATGTAGCAATAGTAACAACATAAATGATTTGGTTAGTGGTACTAAAGAAAAGAAGTAGGAAAAGAAAAATGACGCTTGTGACTATAAACGATTATGATTAATTCGGAGGCCACCTCCGGCCCTCTCTTTTTCTCCTCCCGTCGTTCAGCGATTTTCAATAGGGCGAACTCGATTCATATGTAAATACGAGAGAAGAACGAGTTGAGGTTTGTATAAGCATTTATTTCGCAGTTTAAAAAGAAGACGCATAAAAAATCATGAGCGGGTGTTCGAGTATGTATACAAAGGAGAAAAAAATGAAGACAGTGAGCGTTCGATTTACTTATTTCTTCTTTCCTTCAATTTTTGCTTGATATCGTTATGATAGGGTCAGTATATTAGGGTGAGTTCTGTGTCATGTTTTTCTTGGTAAAAGATATACATATATATATACATATATATAAATGTATATGTATATCTCATGGTAGAGAAACTGTCTGAGTGATTGATCGAATGATTTCCATGTCTGACGACCGAATAAAAGAGGAGAAGTTTATTCTTTCTTTTTCTTTAACATCAGTAGTAAAGATAATGTAGAAGTAGAAAGGATGTGTCATGAATCTCTCTCTCTCTCCCTCTCCTTCTCGAACGCATACACGCGTGTGTATATGTGTATGTAATAGAATCCATCTTGTATATGTACATTCCTCTTCTTTCCAGTTGTCGATTGTCGCCCATTGGCAAAGCAAATATTTAGGCCTCGCCTCGTTTCTACAGTATTCGCTTTGCTATTATTCATTCATTTTTTTTCTTTCTCTCCCTCTCCCTCTCTCTCCCCTCTGTGTTCGCGTCGAGCCATTCGCGCAAAAGGGCTTATTATATTGATGAGTTTTTACTATGATTACATTTGGCTGCTATGCGTTCTCTTCTTCTCCTCTCTCAATATTCTATAACTCTTTCTATAAAAAAAAAACGGAACCAGGACGGCGAACGAACGAATAAAGAACGTTACTATGTTCGCTCTTGCCGTCCTACTCTATAATCAGTCAAAACTATACACCGGTAATGTGCATTTGCCTGATATATACGGTCTACCGAGACATGTTTCTTTTTTTTTCTCTCTCTATATTTCACTCGTTCATAATAACCTTCGATGCGATCTATTAATTTTACTATAGACTATAGATATCTAACTATAAATATACAGTTGTTATTGTTGCCGGTATTACCATTATTATTATTATTACTATTTCACTCGTATCTGACATGGAAGGCGATGTTGTCTTGCTTGGATTAATGGACTGGAATGCCGGCGGTTCGACGGCTACACAGTTTATACCATTACCAACGACAACTGAAGTGTGTTATGAATTGTTGACAGGAGGGGTTCGTATATATAGAATAAATAACATCAATTATTAGAAAGAATAAAACATTGTGAAGAGTTGTTAGATATATATACATATATACATACATACATATGATCAATTTTTTTTTAATTTATTTGAAGGCACCACCAACACAACCTCATGCTGCTGGATATGACCAACAGAGAACACCCTATTCGAATGGTATATCATCATATAATCAAGCTCTTAGTGATACAAATTTGTACATAAAAAATTTGCCAGCAGATTATTCTGATAAAGATCTTGCTGCACTTGTTGAAGGGTATTTATAAACACCATAATATGAATTATTCTTTTCTTTTCTTTCTTTTTTTTTGGTTTCTATAAATAAAAATTTGATATTTTTCTTAGTTGTGGCAAAATTAAGTCAATGAAAGCAATAATTGATAAACAAACGAACAAATGTAAAGGTTTTGGTTTTATTGATTTTGAATCCCATGAAGATGCCCAAAATGCAATAGCTGAATTACAAAAAAAAGGCTATACAGCACAATTAGCTAAAGTATTTTTAGTAACAATAATAATAATTCTTTTTCTTTTAACCAAATGATTTTATTATTTTGATCTAGTCATCACAACAGCAAGAACAAGATGAAACAAATTTATATTTTGCTAATTTGGATACAAATATGACTGAACAAGATTTACGAATAGAACTGAGTAAACACGGAAGTGTTGTTAGTGTACGAATTTTACGTGATCAACAAAAACAATCACGTGGTGTTGGATTTGCACGAATGAGTGATAGAAAACAATGTCAAGACATTATTGATCAATTCCATAATAAAACTTTTCCAGGTTAGTTTCTTCGTAAATTATATAAGAAAATAAATAATTATTTTGTTTTTATATTCAATTAGGTTTTACTGATAAACCAGTACAAGTTAAATTTGCTGATGCTAGTAAAAATAAAAAAATATATAAATCAACTTTAGATGTATGTATTCGGAAGAAAAAAATATGAATGAATCTAATTAAAACATAAATTTATTTTATTGTAAAGGAAATGAAAGGTGGTCCTCCAATATATTCACCAATGGATCAACAAGGATCTTATCCACATCAAGCTCTTGTCTATTCTCAATGGGGATCGGGCCCACCACAACAAATTCAAGCACAACAGGCAGCTCCACATCAAATGTATGGACAACCAGCTCCATTACGACAATCATTAGCGGGTTTTAACCATCTAAATCCTTCCTATATGCCATTACAACATGAACTTGGTACTGCATTTGTGTTACCACAACAATTACAACAGTTACAAATAGCAAATGGTCATCATGCTGGAGGATATTGTGTTCTTAATCCTTCACATCCTACAATTTTTATGCAAGCTCAACAACAATCACAACAACAACAACTACACGATCAATAAGTCTCGAAGATGAAATTAAGATTTATTGAGATCTATGGATGGAACAGCTGAATCTTTTTGTTTGTTTTGCCTTTCTCCCTTTTTTCGCGATCTTCTGGCTTGAATGAGAGAATTTTTGTGGATTTTTTGTTCGTTGTTCAACCACCATTTTTCTCTCACTTCGTCTCGAGTGCCATTTTTTTGATGTGTGTGTGTGTGCGTGTGCATGATCGTCGCTCTCTCTTTCTCTCTCTCTCTTTCTTCTTTTTTTTTGCTGTTGTTGTCACTTTTTTTTCTTTGTTTGTTGGCCGTGCTAGGCAGACAGTTGCCTTCTCTCTCTTTTTTTTCTCTCTCTGTGTCTCTTTGGATATTCATGTCTTAGAAGAAACATACGGCTCTATTTTTTCTGTTCGTTGGCTTCTTTTGTTTTTCTTTTTTTTGTTTTTTTGCACATTGATAACAGACTGCGATGAAATGATTTTGAGTAAGACATATACACAAAGAGACGAAATAAAACAAACAATTTGTATGAGAAAGATACAAGAAAGTTTTTGGAAATATATCTTTTTTTCTATTTCAATGTTAATCAAAGATATTTGGAATGTTAAATATGTAATATTCAATAGAAGAAAATAAACGAGATTGAAACATGAAATATATTTTATATATAAATGTTGAGTTGCGTGTTTTATTATTTTAAAATTATATATCTATATATATATATACTCTCAAGTATATTTTTTTTTCTTAAGGATACGCCCATTCCATTATGTGAATCGAGTGGCAGTGTATGTCAAATTATGATTGAGTGCCTATATAAAAGTTTGTCCCATTACTCGTTGAACTAGTTATAAATGCGAAAAAAATATATTTCATAATAGTTCATTAAGAAGTGCTCGATAAATTTGATTATACGTTATTAATATGCCGATCTGAAGATTTGCAATAGATCATGATCAACATACTAATGTACGTTTATGATAAAGACTTAATTGAATCAATAATATATTTTACTAACTATCTAATTATTTAATCAAAATATTATTTTTTTTATCGTAAAGAATGTCATCATACTGATAATTTACCTTTTGTCACATTATAAATTTGACATTTATGTAAAGAAACTAGTAGACTTTATTGATTTATATATTTTTTTATTTCAGTTTATATATTAGTATACTAAGTCACGAGAATGTATTCTCATCTGAATTACATTTGTCATTAATAAATACATGTTTGCCTAGTGAAAAAGCAAATTATTAGAATATTAGAGAGATCATTAAATATATCAACATGCAATATAACGTGAACGATATTGTGTTTAGAACAATTGAATTATCCATTAAAATTTATTGTTTTGTTTTGAATATTAATGAATTATTATAAGATTGAGTCTTATTCAATCTAAACGATTCTGTAGTCTCAAATGATGTTTATATAACATCGTTCTTGTAAAACAGTTATGAAGAAATATGATGCTTCATCTTGTAATTGAAACTTATGTTGTAAATAATTGCTATTTGAGAGACGGAGGAAAAAAAGAAGTTTACACATAAATTGATAATTTATTAAAGTATGAAAATAAACAATATAGAATAGAAACTACTTACCATACATAAAAAAATTCTTTAATAACATATACAATTGTTTTCTAATTAAAGATTGTCAATATACATCTGTTATATGTTGTTTTTCTTAAAATCAATATAGTTTTGTAAAAATAATAGTATTATTTTATCGTGGAAAAATCATGTCTACATCTGTCAGTAAGTTGATATGTATTAATATAAATCAATCTACAACCTAAGATTTGAGTATTAACTCTGACATCTTTAAAAGATAAGAAAATTTCTATTTCTTATCATCAAGATATACATGTACTGTTTTACAGATACGAATGACACCATAATAACAATAAAGATTTTTCGCATCATATTTAAAATACTCATTTATTCAACTACAATAATATTATTAAGCTTCATTTTTTTTAGAATAGCTATTATGGCTATAAAGAAGTCCGACAACAAATACGAATAAAAACATGACATTTAGTTACTAGATCGCATGTCACAGTGGGATAATCTATGTAATTAATCATTAGTATGCACTTTATACCAGCTGTGGTAATGGATATAGAACAGGAAATTGTACTGTTGTGTACAACGTACTTAATAATACTTATGTTTGTAAAGAGATATATGATCAGCTTGCTATTTAAATATGTAATTGATATATATTTTATTTTTATTGATTTTCATCATTATTGAGATTTTTTGAAAAAAAAACACATGTAATTAATAATAACTAAATATTATAAAAAATGAAATATTCATCAGGTAAAAAAAAAGTGAAAAATCTGACAAATAAAAAATGTTTTTATTTTCTATTATGTTCTTCATTATTGATCTCTTGTATTTTACTTTCAGTCATTGTTAATCTTGTTTCAAGTATAGATACTGTTTTTGTTAATATATCCAATTGTTGAACAATATGATCAAGTGTATTAGCTAATTGAGGTGGATAGGATTGTTGAGTATTATTCTGTTCAATATCATATGTTGAACGAGTATTTCGATTTGGCATTCTAGCTGAATTTATCAGACCAGCTGAAGCACTATTCGACTAACGAGACAAAAAACAATTTATTATAAAATATTAAAATAATTATCTTACTCGAGCAATGCCATTTTCATAAGCTGGTCCAATATTAGTTATTTTCAATTGATCATCATCATTGAACATACGCATAATAGATTTTTCACTAAAGACATCAATCTAAATATATTAGATATTTTTTTGTAATGTAACTAAAAAACATTACGATGAATTATTACTTTTCGTGCTTGTCTTTCATCGCTTGTTTCTAATTGAGGTTTTTCCTGTAATGTTGCTATGTGTGTTTTATTTTGTTGTAAATTCCCAGATGAAATACGTGATCTTGTACTATAATCACTACTATTTGCATATTTATTAGTAGTCGACTCGATAGGTGAAGAAATAATATCGAAATTAGTTTTCCAAACAAGTACCTTTAGAAAAAAAATATATTTATTTCATATGTATATTTATATATACTTGTTGATCTTGACCGCCTGATGCAAAATAATCTCCTTGTTTTGAAAAAGCAACACTCATTGCAGGTCCCTAATATAAACAAGAATTGTTTTTCTGGTTAAATTAATATTCTATTTACTTGAAGGACGATTGATTTATACTTTACATGGTCATCAAGTAAATCAAATACTTTTAAAGTTGCATCACTAGATGCTGATAAAAGAAAATTTCCATTTGGATGAAAAGCAACACTATTTACTGATGCAACATGATCTTAAGAAGAAAAAAAAAGTAATTTATAAATATTAAATAAAACATTTTTCTTACTTGCATAATGTTGAATTAATTTTCTTGTTCGTATATCCCAAATTTTAACACTTGCATCTGTACAACCTCCACCAATACAAGTGCCACTTGGATGAAAAGCAATATCATTAAGAAATCCATGTGGTTCATAGAATGTATGCATACATTCATTTGTATTTCGATCCCATATTTTAACTGTTTTATCATCACTACAGCTAATAATTAATCTTCCATCTGGTGAGAATTTTGCACAACGAACCCAATTCGAATGTTGATTGAGTGAAAATTGAAATTTTTGTCGATGAACAGTCCAAATTTTAATAGTTTTATCTTCAGATGAACTTAATAAACTTTGACCATCATTGGAAAAATCAACACATCGTACAGCTGCGGTATGAGCTTTGAAAACAGTTGATTCACCTTTTACACTTGGAATCCATAAACGAACTTTTTTATCTTTTGAACCGGATGCTATCAGATGACCCGATGGAGAAAAACATACCGAATGAACAGCATCCTACAAATAATATATACTAGACTATGTTTAAGTATAATACATTATTTTACATACATTATGACCAACAAAACGATAAGCTCGAACTTGAGATTTAAATGGCCAAAGATAAAGACATGAATCTAAACCGCCCGATGCTATAAAAATGATTGTAATCGTTTAGTTTTTATAAAAACTAATATGAATCAAAATACCGAGTTGTTTTGTATTCGGTGCAAAACTAAGAGATGTAACAGTATTTCGATGACTTTTGAATTGTTTTTCTAACTTTGGATCTTCCTAAAGTTAAGAAGAAAAAAAAATTACAAAAATTACATGTAGATTAATAATCTAACCATAATATCTTGTACGAGTTCACTATAGGTAAATGGACATCATAGAATGGACATCAGTTGTATGTCCGACAAATGTTCCAAGACAACCGATGAGGTCCATTCATAATTCATATAAATTTATAAATATTTTCAATAAATTTCAACATTATAAAGAAGATGTTTTTACAAAATATCAAAAGTTTATTAAAGAGAAAAGAATCTTTTAGTAGATGTCGCAAGTTGATGTCATAAGTATGTGATAAAAACAAATGTTTTAAGAAAGATTATTTATTTTCTAATAACTAATTTAGACATTAAAAGAACTTTGAAGTTTAACGTCAGCATTATTAGCAGATGTTGAAATCCAAACATTATAAGTACCAGGAGCAGTTACCCATTTTTGATTAATAACATTCCAATATGATATATCTCTTTGTGTTAGTACTAATGTTACTTGTTTTGATTCACCTGCTGCTAAATATACTCGTTCGAAACCTCGTAATATTTTTGGTGGTTGTTCGGCTTCAGCAGGAAATCCAACGTATAATTGAGGTACTTCTGAACCCTCTACTTTACCAGTATTAGTTATAGTAAATGTTATTTCATAAACAGGTTCAAAAACTTTTGAAGCAGCGACATTAGCATACGATTTAATTCGATGTTGTCGATATTGTGATGATGCAGTATGTTTACCTTTTCCAGCTTTAGAAATATCAAGTTGTGTAAACGAGAAAGTAGTATATGAAAGGCCAAACCCAAAAGAGTATCTTGCTGTGATATTGAATTTATCGAAATGACGATAATCTAAGAAGACACCTTCAGTATAATTGGAATTGTATGTTTGACTAATATCAGTACCAAAATCAGAATCTTTTTTAGCTAAAGTAAATACCATCTTGCCGCCTGGATTATAATCACCAAATAGAACATCGACAATAGCTGGACCATACTCGGAGCCAGGCATGCCACTCCATACTACACCAACAACATTGGGAAGATCAATCCAAGCTTCGAGGTTTAATTGTGAAACACTGTTAACAATGACAATAGTTTTAGGACAGTGTGAAGCAACTGTTTGAACGAGCTGATCTCCATTATTTAAAGCATAAAGATCACTTCTATCAGATCCTTCTGACGAGAAAGCACTAACAAAAACAAGACATTTAGCATTACCAAAACCACGTGCATTGAATGTATCATTAATAGCACGATAATCATTTTGATCAGTAACATATCGCATTTGAAGATGAGCATCTCTACCTTTAATTAAAAGTGCAGTAAGAGGATCAATACCATACGTAGGTTCAACATAACCTGAACCTCCACCTTGGTATAAAGCACCTCCATGTTGTGGTGAACTTCCTGCACCATATCCTTCATCAGATTGACCAGCTGCTGCTCCATAAATATAATAGTAATTATCAGTAGTAACATTTAATGGTAAAGCATTGTTTGTATTCTTAAGTAAAACAATACCAGCAGTACCAACTAATCGATTAATTTTATAATTATCTCCAATAGCATCTCGATCTAAATCTAATGTTGGAAATCCTTGATCTTGTCCAAGAAGATAATAAGGTGCTAAAACTCTAACAATCATATCATTAATTCTATCTTCTGTTACTGCACCAGTTTTAACAGCTTGCACCAGCACGGAACCCATGAATCCATCACCACCAGGCATATCAATATCTAAACCACCTAAAACTGATTCGATACCAGTTTTTGTTGCACCCCAATCCGACATAACATTGCCTGGAAATTGTAATTCACCTTTTAAAAGTCCATTTAATGTTTTATCATTTTGACAAGCTTGTGTACCATTAACTTGATTATATGAACACATAACAGAACCAACACCAGCAGCAACACTAGATGCAAATGGCCAAAGATATATTTCATGTATTGTTTTATCATCAAGATTAGCTGAATAACCTTGTGAATTACTAGCACCAAGTCGTTTTTTATCATATGGTGAACCATAAAAACGATTTGTTTCTTGTTCATTACATATATAATGTTTAGCAGTTGCAACAACACCTTGATCTTGAACACCTTGAATGTAATAGAATGAATTTTCTCCAGAAAGATATGGATCAGCACCAAAACCTTCCCAATTACGACCATGTCGAGCATTTCGATCAATATTCATCATGGGACCCAAAGCAAAATGAATTCCTTTACCTTGAAATTCTTTACCTATAGCTACACCACGTCTATAAAATATATCTCGATCCCAAGTAGCAGCTGTTTGTATACCAGCTGCAAAAGCAGTTGAATGTAATACTCCATCTCCAACGCCGCTAGGGGAGTCCTGGAAACACATACCATTAAAATTAAGACGTGTTATAGGTAAAACATTGCCTGCACATGGACCTCCAATACCAGATGTCATATTACATTTTTCTTCTAATGATAATTGTCCCACGAAGGATTTAGCCATAGCAATAGCTTGTTCCCATGATCTTCTTTGAACTTTCGAGTAGTCATTCGATTGAGGATCGATTATGGCTGAGAAAGTAAATGAAAAGCAAGCAGCAAGAATAATTACAACGAAACGACTGTTAACCATCTCGATGATAAAAATACTGGATACTGTTACCTTGCCGTGTATATTTAAATATACCGAGTTATGCGGACACAAGTAAAAATTTGCTTTCTTTATCAATTTTATTTAAGTATGAAGATAAGTTTATCTGTTTAATGTGTTCGAGCACTGTTAAAGTGGTATATAAAGAATATTTGTTGATAAAAGTATATCATACTATTTATTTTTAGTTGGTCTTGCATCACTTTACATATCTAAGAATACTCAAAATTTTAAAGATATCTATTAGCGTTATTACATCGAAAATTTAAAAAAAAAAGTTCGTTTTAATACTAAAGAAATCGATTGTTTTATTCAATATTGAAGATAATTAATTATTTATAGTATAGATCAGTGGTTATTCGATAAAACAACCAACCTCTAACATTTCTATAATTGACTGTTTTTTATTTAAATTTCTCTTTCTCTCTCTCCCTCTCTTTCATTCTTTTGTAACCAGAGATAAAACGAGGTATCAAGGAGAAAAAAAAATACGTTTCGTTCTCTCACTTATTCTTCACATCAGCCTAAGAAAGAAAACAAGAACAACGTTAGTGTACTGTCACAGTATAGTGAATTAGATATGGCAACGGCTTATGATGCACAAAATGAAAAATTTAAATGATTTATTAATTATATACAAGGAGTTTTAAAAATAAATAAATTTAATACTGTTGAACAAGCTTATGTAAGAAAAACTAATAGACTTAAATATATCTAAATACCTATTATATGTTTTTTTCAAAGGAATATGAGAAAATAAAAAAAAAATTTTCAATGCATTTTTTGTACAATAATTCCAAAGGCGAAATAATTTTACAAAATAGAATAAATAATGTATTTATAAATATTGAAGTAAGTATCTTATTTTTCAGAAACAAAATACTAGTTTCTTTTTTAATTTTAGGTATATGAAACTGACATTGAAAAAACAAAATTTACAATTGATTTAGATCATTATTTCAAAATACAAGATTCAATATTAAAGTAAAGCTTTAAATCGATTTAACATATTTTTTTAATATATTTTAATTTTATAGAATCGATCACGAAGAAGATTTAAATAGAAAGATAAACAATTTAATCAATGTATTGAAAAACAAATGGAACCAAAAATTACCAATAATGATAATACTGGTATAATTATTTAAAAAACAAAATTCCTACTTTATTTTCATATTTCTTTTTCTTCAGATAATTATAATAATAAACAATCATCAGTATATATTCTTTTCTCTTTTCAAAAATAATTATAATTTTTCTTGTATAGGCTATATCTAATCGAGAAAATTTAATGAATAATCGTGAGTACGTCGGAATATTAAATGATCTCATTGTATCAACATCAAATCTACCACTAATTCATAAACAAAAATAGTAAAAAAAGTAAATTAAATAGTCTTCATATTATTTCATATTTTCATGTAGTCTTCATTGTTTCTCTCTCTTATTTTCTCATAGTAATCTTTGGACTGTAAGGACCTCTCTGGTCATCAGTTACTGCACAATAAAACAAAATAAAAAATTTCATAGTTTCAATATTTCTTTAACAGAATTCTTTTGTTTTTATTTTTTAAATTACTAAAGGATAACATATTTCAGCATGAGAAAAATATTCTTGTACAGAAACTGAACGATTTTTTTCATTGTATAAATTTAGTTTTTTGATTTTGTTACAATTGAATCGTGTAGCATCTCTTGTGAAATTGTGTGTTACTCGTTTTAAAGATTCATAATTGAGATAAAGAATAAGATTATTTCGTAGATACGTTTGGGTATCAAATAGAAACTCTTCTAAATAATCATCATGAACATTAATAAGATAAAGTTCATATAGAGAATAATATTGAATTACAGATAAATTTCGATTATCATTATTTGATTCAGAGGATTGCTTATGATTTTGTGATTGGTGATTAGTCAAAGATAATACTTCCATAAACGGAAATGAATGAACAATTCGACGAAGAAATTCATGTTCAAAAGGATGTTCATCAAATAAAGACACGACGCGAACAGATTCAAATAAGCCACCTGGAAAATGATTTGTAATGTTACCATAATATTTCATTTTATATGGATATGTATAAATATGACATTGACATCGTTTTGCATCCGGAAAATAATCACCATAATAAGTAATATTGTTATTTGGAAAATCAATAAATGTGCGTTGCATATCTTCTCTTGACATAAAATTTACTTGGTTTATATTAAACATCGATGATAGAATATAAAATCCAAATTGATTTAACCGTGGCAATTGATTAATGATGCTTGTCTTTAAATAGTTTCCATCAATATGTGTATTTTCAACATGCACCTTGAGGCATAAATCAAGTTTTTCTAGATTTGACATTCGATAGAAAAGTGGCAAGATTGTTCTATCGTAATCATCTGTTACGTCATTACAGGAAAGAGAAAAACATTTTAGAGTTGCTAAATCACCCTAGAAAAAAATTAACGTTCTTATTTAACAATATAGGATATCTATTTATAGAACAAACTTGATTTTCAATTTCATATGGACGACAAATATAAGCCAAGTCAACGACGAGTGTGTGAAGTTGATCAAAACGACCATCGAGAAGATAAAGACAATCATCAAAAGAACGTACACTTATAATTAATTTCAAAAGAGTTGAAGAACGAAAATTAGGATATAATGGATAATCAAAAGCGAATCGAACAGATTTTATACATGAGTCAAATAAAACAAAAGTAATCAGACGAGTAAAAACAGTGAAGATATTGTTACATATCTTTATTAATGATACCAACATATCATCATCATCATCATAATTATCATAATTATTATATACTGTAATAAAAAGTGTTGTAATTTGATTTTTGAAAATTTCACAAAGATTTTCATCTAAACATAGAAAATATTAAGAAAAAAACTTGTCAATATATTCAATGATCTATATTAATAAATTTAATAAATCTTACCAGTTGAAAGAGATAGAACTGATTCTTCATTAACATTGTAAAGACCAAGGCTACTTAAGTTAGGATAATTAGCAGCATATAAAACATGTTTCATTGATGATGACTTAAGATCAAGCCATTGAATTTTATTATGAATTGAAGGTAAAATTTGGGAACAAAATTTATGACGTATCGTATTACAGTCAAGTAAATCGATAAAATTTTGTGATAAAGAACTGATAAAAGTCAAACGATTTGTAAAAATTGAATCACAAATTATTCTATTTAATCGTTGATTGATACCATGAAAAGAATAAAGGACGTCAATGTTGTTTAATTTTTGAAAAATAATCATAAGAATTTCATCAGGTAAATCATTTAATCCAATATAAGAGTATTCCATGTTTATTTTTATCTGTATATTTTTTTTTACTTATAATGTTCAATGTTATATGCATATATATATTTGTATATTCTATTTGGCCGATGCCGGCAATACAGACAATAGTGATGCATTGTTTCACAGTCAAAATTGATAGTACGTTCATTTATTTATAATATGGTATGTAAATGAAGAGAAAATCTTTAATGAGAATTAAAAAATATTTCTTGTACACAACTTGATATACATTTCATTTTTATATGTTAATTAAAACTATCTAAATTCAAATTATCCGAAACTCTCTTTATACATATATTTGTAGAATGAAACTTGCTCTGCTAAGTGCTCAATTTACTTCGTTACCTGAACATCGCTGAAAACCTTTAGACTCTGTTGCAATTTAAATATCGAAATTTTCGCGATAAGATTGTTTTCAAAGAAATGATATTACTTGTGAAGAGTAGAATTTTGAAAAATATTTGTAGATTTGAACTGTTGGGATATTTAACATATTACAGCTCATGATCAAGGAGAGCACTGGATTTTTTTACGACTTTAGAATATGAAAACTGTTCCAAAATATCCTTTAGACAAGTTACGAATTACAGGAGAAAGCCCATTTTGTATGATACAGCCGATATTTTTTATTTATCTAGGTATTTGCTTCCAGCTAAATAGTCGTCAATCGAAGAAAATTTCTAATGATATATGTAAAAAGAGAATCTAATTCTGTTTCTAATCGACTACTTTCAATCCTCATCAACTACCTTGAAATAACGAAAAAAGGAAGAAATATATTTGCAAATACCTTTGGATATAGTGTTTTGTAGAGATATTGCTGTTAGTTTCTATCAAAGATTTATACTTAATTAATGAATTTTAATGCAGAGAAGAATTTTAAATATGTTTACTAGGAGCATACATTTCTCCTTATAGATGACTAGCTTTAATTCTCTCCTACAACTTATAAATGGACAAAAATCGAACACAAATGTTGTGCAAACACTTTTTACATAAAGATTACTTGATTAATACTAAATAGTTAACAAAATATTTTTTTAACAATTTGGAAAAATGAATCTAAAAGTTTTAGGATCAAGTCTCGTGCACAAAATCAATTTTGGAATTTTGTATTTAACTATACGAGTCATTTCTACGTTTACATATTCATGCTTAAATCTTATTTGTCATAACAAAGATGAAATGATTCATGGATAATATTTTATCGTATTATTGGAAATGATCTTCCGCCATGTCATTCATCAAATGAAACATTAATTGATTTAAAATTTATTCTTCAATATGAATCTTCATTTAAAAATGTTAAGAAAATCTGGATACTTAATAAAATTGTTCACAATCAACTTGAACAAACGTTATTTAATCTATTGAATTCATATAATCATTTATTTATTCGAATACCTTTTTATTCTGATGAATATCATCAAATACCATATCATGTTCCATTGAATTATTCATCACACGAATTTTTTTATTCGAATAATTTCTCTAACATGTCATCAATAGAAACAATTCAATTAACTGATACAATTTATCATTATAAAAATTTATATTCAATTTATATAAATGGAGCAAAAAATTTTGCTTTAAAACATGGAAAATAAGAAATTAATGTTAAATGGTTAATGCCATTTCATAAGAATTCGTTTTTATCAGAAGAAAATTTTAATACAATTCTTAATGATCCTTTAATAAAATATATAATTATACCTATTAAAAGAATTACAAATAATAATGATGTGTTTAATTCAAATCTATAGAGAACCCCAAATTATGTTTCGATATAATTCAAAAATTCAATATTTACAAACAATAACATATGAACAATATTCAAATGAAGAATTACTTTTGTATTTAGGTGTGAAAAAATCTCTATGGGAAGCAAAAGAACGAGAACCATTAATTATTTCAAAAGATAAACATGAATATATTTTTAAAAATGATACTTTTATTTTTCATCTTTCTTCACCCAATAAATCTATTATGAACAATCACTTTATCATCGAACATGTAATCATTATCAAAGTACATTATATTTTCTTCATAATCTCGATTTATAAATCAATGCAATTAATTTACTTCCAATTCCACAAACAAATTCAGATCCATGTGCATTTGGGTTTGATAAACAAATAGGACATATTATTATAAGAGCAAGAAATACTTCACTTATTTAATTTCTATTATCATAAAGAAAAAAACAAAATTTCACTTTTTCTTTCCTTTACAACAATGTCTTGTTCATCTGAAATAATTCTTATTTATCATTTGATTTAGAATATTTCATAAATTTTCATTATTTTATTGAATATCATCTAGTTGTTTTTCAATATCTCATAAGTTGATTTCACCTTTAAATGATAGAATAAAGAAAATTCAGTTCTGAAACTTTTTTAAAACATGAAATGTTTTTTGTTTTAATATAATTTCGCTCTCAAATATGAAAATACTTACGAATGTTTTATCAGGATGAATAGATTTATATCTTATATCAATGAAATATATAACGATAAAATGAATGGCATAACTCATCTATTTATAAATTTTTACCTGTTGGAAATTTCCAACTTATAACAAAAAAAATATTTTTCTTTTTTCTATTCCTTATTTATATATATTACCATATAAACGTAATATTTACCTACGCATGTTTTTTTACTGCTTAAAGGATGTATCTTATTATTTTATTCTACACACAATTCATGCAAATTAAGAAGCTATATTTGATAAAATTGTAGATAAAAATACAAATAATCCTCTTTCAATATTGATATCTTTCTGTAAGTTAACATAGAAATTATTCGTTATAATTATTAGAAAAAATCAAAAGGGAAAAAAGCGATTTATGATTTAGTGATTATAAATGTTTAATTTGATTTAAACTGATTTAAACTTGATTTTTGTCAAATTTAAATCAACTTTTTCCTCCTCGGTTTAATATATTTGAATACTATTAAACTGATATATAAAGAATGTTTGCTGATAAAAGTATATCATACTATTTATTTTCAGTTGGTCTCACATCGTTTTACATGTCTAAGAATACTCAACATTTCAAAGATATCTATTAGCGTTAATACATCGAAAATTTAAAAAAAGAAAGTTCGTTTTAATACTAAAGAAATCGATTGTTTTATTCAATATTGAAGATAATTACTTATTTATAGTATAGATGAGTGGTTATTCGATAAAACAACTAACCTCTAACATTCTTTTAATTGATTGTTTTTATTTATATTTCTGTCTATCTCTCTCTTTCATTCCTTTGTAACCAGAGATAAAACGAGGTATAGAAGAGAAAAAAAATACGTTTCGTTCTCTCACTTATTCTTCACATCATCCTAAGAAAGACAACAAGAACAACGTTCGTGTACTGTCACAGTATAGTGAAATAGATATGACCGACGCGGTAACCCGAATTGGTGTTGTCATCTTTCCCGGTTTTGCATTATTGGATGTTGCTGGTCCTATGCAATTTTTTAATTCATTAAGTGCTATACGACCATTTGAATTAAGTATTATTGCTAAAACAATGCATCCAGTTAGCACAACACCACCTGAAACTATAGTATTAGACAATAAACACCAATTTATTGGTCAAGCATGGTTACCAACACATACATTTGATAATGTACCCGATTTAGATATTATATTAGTTCCTGGTGGATTCGGTATACGAGATGAAACTATTTTCAATGAAACTACTACATTTATCAAAGAGCAATATCCAAAACTTAAATATTTACTCTCTGTATGTACAGGATCAATAATGGTTGCAGCTGCTGGTATTCTTGATGGACGAAAAGCAACATCAAATAAACGTGCTTGGTCATTGACAATAAAACATAAAACAGTTAACTGGATTCCAAAAGCACGATGGGTAGTAGATGGTAATATTTGGTCAAGTTCAGGAGTCGCAGCTGGAATGGATATGACCTATGCATTTATTTCTACTATTTTCTCACCAGATATTGCTAATCAATTAGCCAATGCAATGGAATATGAACCACATACAAATCCTGATTGGGATCCTTTTTGTGAAATTTGGAAAGTAACTTCTCAGTAAAGTATTTTTTTTTGTAGCAAAAGTGAGAGTAAAATCTTTATTTTATACAAGTTAAATTTATCTTAAAAGATTAATAAAAATTTTATCATTGATTGATTAAGTTATTTTAAACTATCATCAGTATCTTTTGAAATTTGATCCATTTTATTATTTTCATTGCATATTGAAGATATTCTATTATATATGTTTGATTCCATAAACCATCTTTACTCTTTGTCAAGTTATGTGTAAATAACCTAGATCACAAAAAAACATAAATGTGACTATATTTCATTATGTATCATCATGTATAAATGAATCAATACATAGAAGAAAATTGTGGACATCATCTGAACGTTTATTTGATGATAAAAAATCTGAACCAGCATTATTAGAAAGATCTATTTTACTGAGTGGATTATTTGAACTAATGCCTATATTTAGTTTAGATCGATAATGTCATTCTAGTTCTAGTTATGAAAAGATAATAAACAGTTTATTAGAATGCTTATACTGTCAACGCAAAATAAAGTAACGCAACAGCATGCTCCATGAATTATCATTGTTCGTTACATGTAAATCGATACTTATTTATAGCGAGAGACATTAAAAACAAAAACATAACATTTTTTTGTTGGAAAAAGTCTATTTTCATTACGAACAGCAACACAAACAAAATGAGTGAAAAACAAAGCACTTCTACGAAATAATTATATTTTTTTGAATATATTTGTTCACATAAAAAGAAAGTTCTAATTCTATACGAAGTTTGATACGATTGTTCATCTTATAAAACACATATCTCAGTAGTAGATATCATCTGATGAAGAATTTATTTTTTTAACTTCTACTATAATAATTTTATTACCACGTTCAATAATGAATAATATCATCAAATTCTACTTCAAATAAACTTTCTTTTATCATTCTATATCAAGAATAGAATAGAATGTATTTACCTTTCATTAAATGATTAATAATAATAAAAGTTAAATGCTGTCAAAATGATATTTACTTTTTCAATCATGTATTAATAGATCTTTTATCAAAATGGAAAACTTAAATATAATCGAACAGTTGAAGTTTACAATTCATTTGACGAGCGATATTATGACAAAAAAAATATAATTTGCATAAATATAGATTTTTTTTTCTTCTGTTATTCTGTTGTAAATTAAGCTAGTAATTATATCTAATGATAAATAATAAGGTGTATTAATATTGTAAGTAAAAAAATATGTATATTGTATCCATCAGAAAGAATACGTATTGGCATAATTACAAATACAATCAATAAACTATAACATGTTGACCAAAAAAAATATACTGCACATGGTTCACAACGTAAAAATGGACGCATAAAAACAAGAATATTTAATGTAAGACTAGTTGCCTAAAGATAAAATTAAAAGATGATAAACGCAAAACAGTTATTGTAACGTCAACAGTTGACATCATATTTAACTAATTACTTATTTTTTTAATATTTATTGATAATACACAATCTAAATATGACAAATGAAACAAGAACAATATCAATAATTAATCTCTCTCTCTCTCCACTAATGCATTCTAACGGATGATAATGACTTATTTATATTGAAGACAAGCACTACTTTCTATTAATTTTCCACCTTCTTTTTTTTCTAATAATGACAAAAGTAAATAATAATCTCACATAAAAAACTTAACTGCCTCTCTTTGAACTAGCTAAATCTTAATTCAACTTTAATGAAATTCATTTTTTTCATAATACCTATATAAGAAACATTTTTTTTGAATATACGCAAAAATATTTAAATTACGACGATCCTTCCAGCAACAGTTAAATGACGTATCAATAATTTTCATAAGAAATATTATTTGAAAAGAATTAAATAATATTTCAACCTAAAGAAAGTTTTATAGAATAGAAGAGAAGATAATTGTTTTTATAGAATATTAATTTAAATTTGTTGATATTCAGTAACAAATTCATAAAGCCATCTAGAAAACTATATGTAAGACGCAATTATTAGGACTTAATATTACTTTGTATACAATCTACAAACGAATTCTAAAATAAAACATAATCGATAAAAATCAAAATATGTGTATTAGTAACAGCAACAAAATATTTTTTAATATTTAAAGGTCACTCTAAATATCTCTATGATACTGCCCAGGTTCACCAATCCCGTATTCGGATCCCATCGGATCCAACATCGGATCTCACAATTTCCAACAAACGGATCTAGACGGATCCGATAGGTGACCATAAGGCCATCATAGAAAATAGTTAAAAACGCCGCTCATCAAATTTGCAGCAAGTGATTGAAAATTTTCCGTACGGAATTCAATGCAAATCCGTCACCAGAATCCTATCGAATTCTGTCGGATGGTCGGATCCTATAAGATCCGATCGGATCCAACGTTGGATTGGTTGACTTGGGTGACATACATGATATTTGAAAAAACAACTATCGCAGCGCACTAATAACATATGTTATTATATATTGAGGGTGTGAGCGTAAATATAA